CTAACTATTTCTGAGGCACTTCTTGCTCAGCATATGTAATTATTTCCAAAGAGGTCCAAAATCAGTTAATAAATATATACTGGGCAACTACTCTGGACCACAGTAGGAAGTTCTAAAAAAAAAAACTGAGATCTATCTTCAAGGAGCTAGCAACTGAGTTGGGGAGATGAATAAATATAAGTGAAACAGCAATGAAGATAATGAATAGATAGAAATTAAATAGTAATAAAGCCAAACATACAGGTTAAAAATCAAAATAGAACATCTGCTCGTGGATAATGATCATGGCTTTCATTTACTGACCCCCTACTATGTGCCAGGCATTGTTCTAAGCATAGATGAACTCATTCGATCCCCCCACCCAACAACCTTATAACCCTACTATTACTATCTTCATATCAAAACACACAACCCCAGGGAATAGGAAGGTTAAAGAATGTGTCCGCTAAGAACTGTCAAAGCTAGAATTCAAACCCAGTCAGTCTGACCCTCTTGCCCACTAACAGATATTTGTGGCTCTGGTTCTCTGATAGACGGTCAAATGAGGAATGCTTCATGCTTTCACAGCTGAATACAAAAGGTTTTTTTGGGAATGCCATCTCTACGTGATAAAATTGGATGGTCACAAACAGGAACTCTAGCCTCCATTTAACAGACGAGTAAACAAATAGGGCCTCTTCTCCCCACATCCATGTGTCGGAGGCACTGAACCAGTACCTTCTTTCTTGTTTGCCCACCGCGATATTACTTTGTATCATGGAAGAGTGTTTTCCAAGTATATCAAAAAGATGGAAAAACTTCATTATTAGTGGACAAAAATCAAATACAGACCCCATGAGGTACAACTGTGATGTAAGGGGGCCTTTGTTAAAATGCCTAGCAGAGCATATGGAGCCGGGGTTCTTCAAAGCAGGCCCTTTTGGTCATGTGCACTTATTCCAGTAACACCGCTACTATTCAAAGTAATTTTTAAAAGATTTTATTTATTTATTTGAGAGAGCACACGCGAGAGAGCATGAGTGGGGGGGAGGACAGAGGGAGAGGGAGAAGCAGGCTCCCTGCCGAGCGGGGGCGCCGATGTGGGACTTGACGCAGGACTGGATCCCAGGACCCCGAGATCATGACTTGAGCCAAAGGCAGACGCTTAACCGGCTGAGCCACCCAGGCGCCCCATCACCATTCAAAGTATTCTTCCAGTTCTTCTCTTGAAACTGCCTTTAGAGTTTAGAGCTACATAAGACATCATCTCATGAATTTTATCACATCTCAGTTTTTCAATGAAAAATAATGCTTCCCACTGCATGGGTGCCCAGTCTATTTAACAGAGGAGCCTCATTTCGGCCTGAAGCCAAATGCCCAGTCCTCACCCAAAGATTTGACACCACTGAGGATATTTTTTAAAAGGTGCCTGAAGGCAATTCCAAAGAGTTCCAGAAACGGGCTGGATAGTTTTATAGAGTTTCCTGTCCCTTCTCTACATGGGCCAGAAGGAAAAAGCAGCAGGTGAGGTTTTTGAATGTGGCCAACTGCTGCAAACGCTGGGCATGATACATCTTTATTAGTCCTAATTTACAAGAGCAGGTTGACCTTGAAGGTTAGCAGAAATCAGCAACAGGACTACCTAGCCTGCTGAATAAGCAATTTGCCATAATAGTTAAGAGAAGTGTGCAAAGGGATCTCTAAAGATTGGCTTCATTAGATGCCTTGGAGATTCAGAAAGAGAATGACATGCAGTGACCCAGAGTAGGGCAATCAGTCATAAATACAGTGGTCAATCACCCAAGCCATACAAGAAGGTGAAGGACCGAACACATGAACACACACACACACTTCTAAAGCTTGGCACTATTAGCAGGGAGAAGGTTTTCATAGATGTGAGAAAATAATCTAAGGAAAAAGGCAGAAATAAAAAAGGCAGAAATAAAAAAGGCAAGGAGATGAAGAGGAACCAAACCGGGTGTCAGAAGATGAAGAATTGCCAGTACCATAACAATGACATATACGCATCTGACAGAGAATTTCCTCGGCTTTTGAAGGAGCAATATATGCTGCTCCATAGAAGAATAGAAAAAAAAATTCCCATGCTCCAGATGGAAATTCTGTTAGCAACAGGAGGAAAAGCTGGATAGTGGTGGTTGGTAAGGGATAGTAATGTGGTGATTATGTCAAGTCGACAAGGCTATTCATGATGTATACTATCTTCCTAAAGATTGTATCTGAGACATGGCTTCTACAAACATAATTCAACATCTAATCATGATTTAAAAAAAAAAAAACCCTCAGCAAACTAGGAATAGTCAAGAGCACCTATGAAAAACCTATAGCTAATATCATACTTAATGATGAAAGATGGAATGCTTTCCCACAAAGTGTGGGAACAAGGCAAGGGTGGTTGCTCTTATTGCTTGCATTCCATAGCTCTTAGAGATCCTAGCAAGTTTAATAAGGTAAAAGAAATGAAAGTCGTAACATATTGGAAGTAAAATTGTATTCGCAGACAACATGGTCATGTATGCAAAAAATCCCAAGAATACTGTAGAAGAACTACCAGAACCAGTAAGTAAATTTAGGAAGGTTGCAGATATGCAGGTCAACATAAAAAACCCATGATATTTGTATTGCTAGCAATGAACAAACGAACATGAAAGTGTAAAAAAAATCACCTGCATAATATAAAAAAATGAAATCTTTAGGGATACATTTAACAAAATGTATACAAGAACCATGCATGGAAAACTATAAAACACTGCTGAGAGAAATTAAAGAAGACCTAAGTACATGGAAATACATATCCCGCTCAAGGATCAGAAGACTCAACATTGGTATGATGTCAATATTGATCTAGAGATTCGATGCCATCCCTGTGAAATCCCAATGGGCTTTGTTGCAGAAATTGACAAGACAATTCTGAAATTTATATGGAAAGGCAAAGGACCAAGAATAGCCGAAACAACCTTGAAGGGGAAAAAAAAAAGTTGGAGTACTTTCACTATCCAATTTCCAGACTTACTAAAAATGCCTCAGTAATCAAGACTGTGTGATACTGGCAGGACTAGTTAGCCTGCCCAGCAGGCAGCTTGCCATAATAAAAAACTGTCCAAAGGAATTGCCAAAGACTGGCTTCAGGATGAGACCCATCTTTTGGAGGTCCTAGCAACAGCCAACTGATTTCCAACAAAGGTACCAAGGTAATTCAGTGGGAAAAGGATAGTCTTTTCCACCAATGATGCTGGAGCAATTTGATATCCATATAAAAAATAAGTGAATATTGAACCTTACTTCATACAATATACAAAATCAAGTTGAAATGAAGCATCGAAGTATTAGTTTTAGGGGCACCTGGGTGGCTCAGCCGGTTAAGCATCTGACTCTTGATTTTGGCTCAGGTCATGATCTCAGGGTTGTGAGATGGAGACCCATGTCAGACTCCACACTCAACCTGCAGTCTACTTGGGATTCTCTCCCTCCACCTCCCTCTGCCCCTCCCCCTCCACTGCTTGCACGCGCTCGCTCTCAAATAAATAAATCTTTTTAAAAAAGTATTTGTTTTATATTACTGCATAACAAACTTAGTAGCTGTAAACAACATACATTAATCATCGTGCAGTTTCTGTGGGTCATGGGTCAGGAGCTGGCACAGCTTAGCTGGATCCTCTCCTCAAGGTCTCACAAGGCTGTAAACTCAAGGGAAGGGGATTATACAGGGTATGAACCTGTGGGGGGGGGGGGAAGACATAAGAGATCTAAACATAAATAAGTACTAAAACTACAAAAGTCCTAGAGGGAGACACAAGGGAAAATCTTTATGAACTTAGGTTAGGCTAAGATTTCTTAGAACACAAAAAGCATAAACCTGAAGAGGAAAAAAATGATAAACCTGACATCATCAAAATTAAAAACCTTGCTCTTTTTCAAAGGCACAATTAAGAAAGTGAAAGGGTAAGCTGTAGTCTGTATTTGCCAATCATAGATCTCATAAAGGTGTTATAATCAAAATATATAAAGAACTCTTAAAATTTAATAAGACAGGCAATCCAATAAGAAACAGGCAAAAGATTTGAACAAACACTTCACCAAAGATGTACAAATGGCTAATGAGCCCGTGACGACATACTCATTGCCCATCATTAGTTACTGGGAACGTGCAAATTAAAATCACAGTGAGCTACCATTACCCACCCACTAGAATGGCTACAATTTAACCAGACAGACAATAACAAGAGTTGAGGATATGGGCCCAAGCAGAACTCTCATACTTTACTTTGCAAATTGGCACAAGCGCTTTGGAAAATACTTTGACAGTTTCTTGTAAAGTTAAACATATAGTAAGCATACCGCCCAGCGATGCCCCACCTAAGTATTTACACAAATGAAAACACAAGTCCACACAAAGACTCGTAAGCAAATGTTCATAGCAGCTTTATTCACCATGGCCAAAAACTCAGTCAACTCAAATGTTCATCAACTAGTGAATAAACAAATAACTGTGGAACACTGCTCAACAACAGAAAGTCACCAACTGTGGATCTGTGAGTCAACATGGATGAATTTGAAAAGCATTATGCTAAGTGAAAGAAGCCAACCACAAAACACTATATAAACCTACCCTCAACACATCCCAAAGACCTGCTGGTATTCAGACCACAGTCCGTAACCATAATGCAGTGAAGTTAGAAATCAGTTCTAAAAATACCTAGAAAATGTATTTGTAAATTTAAAAATATACTTCTAAACCCATAGGTGAATGAAATAATCACAATAGAAATGAGGCTATCCTAGAACTAAATAATAATAATTCTAATGTTTTGAAACATCCAAACCACAAAATAAATCCAAAGAGAGGAGAAAATGAAGAGTGATTTCCAGGATATATTTTAAGTGGAAAAAAAAAAAGAGACCGAATAGTGTATGTAATATGCTTTTTTGGTGTAAGGGGGGAAATGCAAATGTGTGTGTGTGTGTGCGTGTGTGCGCGCACTCACGACAGAAGAAACAGAAGAGTGCTCGCTTCGGCAGCACATATACTAAAATTGGAACGATACAGAGATTAGCACGGCCCCTGCTCAAGGATGACACAAATTTGTGAAGCGTTATATATTAAAAAAAAAAAAGAAGAAACAGAAGGATAAACTAAAACCTAATAATGTTGATTACCTGGGACGGGGTGGGGGAAACAGAATGCCTGGCAAGAGGCAGGGATGGAAGTAAGGCTTCTTGGTAAAACACCCTGATGTAAATTTGACTTTAAAATTATATAAAGGGGCTCCTGGGTGGCTCAGTTGATTAAGCATCTGCCTTTGCCTTTGGCTCAGGTCGTGATCCCGGGGTCCTGGGATGGAGCCCTGAATTGGGCTCCCTGCTCAGCAGGGAGTCTGCTTCTCCCTCTCCCTCTGCCCCTGCTCCCCCTGCTTGTGCTCGCTCTGTCAAATAAATAAATAAAATCTTCAAAAAAAATAAAAATAAAATTATGTAAAATTTTTACTCATTAAAAATCAAAAAGAGGGCGCCTGGGTGGCTCAGTTGGTTAAGCGACTGCCTTCAGCTCAGGTCATGATCCCAGGGTCCTGGGATCGAGTCCCACATCGGGCTCCCGGTTCAGCGGGAAGCCTGCTTCTCCCTCTCCCACTCCCCCTGCTTGTGTTCCCGCTCTCTCTGTCTCTGTCAAATAAATAAATAAAAAAAAATCTTAAAATAAATAAATAAATAAATAAATAAAAATCAAAAAGAAACTGGAGAATATAATTATGTTCATTCATTTCCACATACTGACAAACCTCTGGTAAGACTAAGAAAAAAAAAAAGGGCACAAACGATATTAAGATTTAAGAATGAAAAGACAGGGGCGCCTGGGTGGCTCAGTCAGTTAAGCGGCTGCCTTCGGCTCAGGTCATGATCCCAGGGTCCTGGGATCGAGCCCCGCATTGGACTCCCTGCTCGGTGGAGAGCCTGCTTCTCCCTCCCCCTCTGTCTGTCGCTCTGCCTACTTAGGCTCGCTCTCTCTCTCTGTTAAATAAATAAATAAAAATCTTAGGGAAAAAAAAAAGAATGAAAAGACAGGGGCGCCTGGGTGGCACAGTCGGTTAAGCATCCGACTCTTGGTTTCGGCTTGGGTCCCGACCTTGGGGTCATGGGATTGAGCCCTGCATCTGGCTCAGCACCAAGTCGGCCTGGGAATCTCTCTCCCTCTGCCCCTCCCGCTCCTTCTCTCTCTCTCTCAAATAAATAAATCTTAAAAAAATTTAAAAAATGAAAAGACAGACATAACCACAGATAATGGCAGATATTAACTGGTAGTTTAACATCTTCCCACACCAAATACACCAGGCCCAGGTGGCTCTGGGGGCAAGTCCTACCAAACATTCAAGAATTCAGGTAATTCCAATCTTACAGGAACTTCCAGATACCAGAAAAAGGGAATGCTCTCACTCACTTTACAAGGCTAGCAAACTGACACTAGGCAAAGATAGTAGAGGAAAGCCAAATCTCACTCTCAAATACAGATGTAAAAATCCTGAAGAAAATACTACCAATCAAGTCCAGCAGTAAGAAACATGCTGGTTTCACCCCAGCAGGCAAACCGGGTTAATGCTACAATGTTGTATTAGAAAATCCCTTAAAATACCCCATCAGCTTAACAGGTGCCAAGGGGGAAAAAACAGAGCTCCGTAAAGGCAGAAAAGGAGTTTGATATCATTCAACATCCACTTAGGCCAAAACAAACATGCACTAGAACTGTGCCTACACAAAACCTAAAGTAAACCTAATACTTCGTGGTGTAATACGGAAAACATGGTGCTTTCTCAAGTATAACTCCTGGGCCCCACCCCGCACCCCCTGAATCAGAAACTCCAGGCTTGACGCCAGGGAACTTGTCTTTTGGGAAACGCCCTCAGGTGATCCCGAGGCAGCCGGCTACCCAAAGTCAAAGCGCCAGTGACAGAGCCTGGGAGCTCGCAGCAACTGAAGCCGGCTCTCCCGCCCGGCAGACCCACTGAGTCGGAATCTGTTTGGACCTGAAGTGCGGGTTGTTCTGGGCTTACCCAGGTTGGAGACACGCTCCTATAGCAGCTGTTCTCGAGCTGAGCGGCAGGCGGAGCACTGCACAAAATGCACACCTTTGATCTCCCCCAAGATTAAGTACATCTGAACGTCAGTGGGTGGGGCCGGGGCAGCAGGTCTTTAAAGCTCCCAGGTGATTCTAATGAGAGCCACCGTGGCAAACCACTGATCTGCAGTATTCCAGCACATGGAAACTTCTATTTAGGGACTCCGCACCCTCTTGGGTGAGCCAGAGAGGAAGGGCGCAATCCTCGAGTTCTTTGCAGATACTGGTACCCAAGAAAAAAGCCTGCATTTCACATATATACCACTGGCGAATTCTTCAAACTGCTTACCAAACTGGAGCAGAGGGAAGAATGGTCTTCAGTAAAGTGGGGATGTTGTGAGGATTCAAATGGGATGTGCATAATCCCAACGGGCAAAGGGTTTGCCACAGGTTACACGGATCGTTAATGCAAGTTATTACTGAGGCGACCCCGGCTCTAACTGCTCTTCAGGCACTGACAGCAAATCTGATGACATCATCAGCAAATCAAGGCCAGGATGTATCTCTCAAAGCTGCGCTGTCCAACATGGGGGCCACTAGTCCACGTAGCCCCTGCACACTTGAAAAACGGCTAGTCCCACTTGAGGGGTGCTGTAAATGTAAAGTATGTGCCAGATGTTCACAACTTCATACAAAAAAAGGGGAGGGGAGACCACTCACTAATCATTACACTGATTGCATGTTGAAATGATAATATTTTGGATCTACTAGGTTAAATATATTATAAAAATTGACTTCATCTGTTTCTCTTTCAATGCGGCTACTAGGAACATGGGTTACACATGTGGCTCGAATTATCTTTCTAATGGACCACAGGGTCTCAAAGGATCATGGGGAAGCCAGGATGTGAACTATTACTTAAACCAGCCTTTTCAAACTTTAATGTACATACAGATCACCTAGGGGTGTCATTAAAATGCAGATTCTTGGCTGGGTAGATCTGAGGGGCCTCAAATTCTGCATTTCTCCTAAGCTCCCAGGAGCCGAGGAAGGGCAGGAGCATCTGGACAATTAGCAACAAGGAAAAACTGTTTTGTGGCACAGAGGTGATGGGGAGCTCTGGAGAAATGATCATGTCATGTCAGAGCTGATAACAGTAAAGAAAGGAAATGGCCAGCAGGGTTGCACTCAGCCTCAACTTTAAAAACTCAGCTGTTCGGCCTCACAGCAAGAACTACAAAGAGGTGAGGGCCAGCTCCAATTGCCCTCCACCTGGGGACTCCCTTTCTCTCTCAGATGTGGAAGTATCAGTGTGGGCAAGGAACACGTCAGGACCAGAAAGCTCAAAACGGAATGTCCACTGAGCTTTCGCATATCCTGCCCGCCACATAACTAGTGTCAAGGGCAGTGGTCTCCTTGGGTCTCCCTGAAACCAAGTGCGGATCTTCCTTGTCACTGTGACCCACCCAGTACTACTGACAAGCATGGCTGGGGGTCACTGTCCCGCAGGTGCATTTCTTCTTTTAGCAAAACAGCTCAGGTCAATTCCAGGACTGCTGGAACGAACCCTGACAGCACAGTCCCTGTTCTCCTGAGTCCCCACCTAAGTCACCTCGGGGCCGAAAAGGAACTTAAGGCTCAGACGAGGGCATTTCAAGCACCACCATCTGATACCACGAATCCCCTTTATGGCCACCTCGGCCTCAAGGGCTCCCTGAAGGGGAAAGCATGGTGCCGTGACGTAGCAGCCCGTTCCGTTTTAAGAGGCTCTGGGAAACAATGCTTCCTTCTCACGGAAAGCCCAAGGACATGATATCAATATAGAACAATTATCACAAGTTAATGAAAGGACGTCACTGTGTTGTCAAGGTCTGTAGGCAAGGGAATGAGAATAGAATGAGTTACAAACAAGTTACTTTTATTTTTACTTCCAATTATTACCCTTCAACTTCCCTTACCCCTTCCCACCCCCAAACATACCAACAAGCAAAACAAAAATGAACCTATTCTACAACTGCTCATGACAATAGTCCAAAAATCCAGAGGCTGGGAATGCAACGTGTAAGACCTCTCCCATCACTGGACTCAAAGAACTTTCTTATTCATCTGCTAACTGACCACAACAAGGAAGGCTGAGCATGAGCTCCATTTCATCTTGCAGTCAGGGGATATGGTCTCTCTACATACAACCGAATTTGCTGAAATGGACACATCCAAACAACTCTGAACTATCCCTTCCTTGTCCAGCTCAAGTCAAAGAGCATGTACTAAATGTCTACTGTGTGTGGAGGGCCATGTTAGGTTTCACCTGCCCAGGAAAAAACGTCTCCAACCTCAGCCCCTTTCTGCACAAGCTTGGAAGATGAAACAAGTAATGCTGAAATATGCAGGTATTACATATCAAGACAAAGAGGGGAGACGAGTACTCGACATTTCAAAGAGCTACTTACGGAGTCATTTCAAGATACTGAGAAACAAGTTCAAATAATGAGAAAACAGCACTCTGTTTTGGTTCTGTTGGAACAAGAAAGGCAGCATAGACCTGGAGAGCAATGAAGGCCCTGTATTTCTTCCCATCCTAAGCCCCTGAGTAGAGCATCCAGTCTAGTATGGATGGAGGAGCTTGGCAGGGCCTCAAGCTGCACTGAGGAGCTAATGTAAGGTGTTGATTTGAAAAAGGAAAGATTTTCATTCTGAAACACTGCAGAAAAAGGCAGGCAATATTCCCTGGTGCAAGAGATTGCCTTGCTATTGCCCTGTCATTGTTGGTTATGCAGTACTACCATTTTAGGAATCAATAGAATGGAAGCTCGTAAGTACCAATGGCTTCAGGTCCATTTGAGAGAGGCAATCAAACACGTGCGTATTTCAATGCTGACAGAAGAGGGAGAGCAAGGCAGAGAGGCTGCACCTATAGCTATGGGGGAGGGGGGCCAAGGGCAGGAAGGACCCTGCTCTCTTACACCAGTTCTCCAAATAGCCACGGCCTATATAATACATGAATGCAATAATAACGCTGCACAGCCTACAAAGGGGTACTGATGTACATTTGATTCTTTGGAAAGCTCTGGGAGCTTGGCGGGGCTCACTGCTCTGTCTTACAAATGGAGGAGGCAGCAGCAGTGAGGTAAAATGACTTATCCAATGTCACAGAGTTAAGAAGGGGCAGAAATGGGACTTGAACCTGGCTTCCAGAATCCAAACTCAGGAAGCTTTCGGCCACCTCACACAGACAAAGAGCTCCTTTACCATTTCTTGTTCCTCAGAAACAGAAAGAAAGCGCTAGTGCATGATGCCAATGTTCTAAACAGGTGCCCACTGCATTCTTAAACAGAAAAGGATGAGACTGTCTAGGTGCTCAGGTGGAAAAACACATTGTAAACATTTAACGTGAAGAACTGTCCTCCAACTACAGGATGGCAACTGGATCTCACCTGACTGACTCCAACTGGGTCTCCTGGTACCCTCCTGCTTTCAAAGCAGAGGAACTGGAAGAAGGCCTTTCTTGCTCTAGTCATGTTTGTAGAAACAAACAAAATATGGTCTCAAGTAATTTCTGAGTCCAAATAGTAAAAGGGAAAATCACGCTTACTGGACGTCCAAAAGTGTATTAGGACATGTCTAGAATCATTCTTTTTCTTTGAAAGCAAACAAGGGGGGGGCCCTGGGTGAAGTGTCAGACTCTTGATTTCTGCTCAGGTCATGATCTCAGGGTCCTGGGATTGAGCCTCCTGTCAGGTTCCATGCTCAGCAGGGAGTCTGCCTGGGATTCTCTCTCCCTCTCCCTCTCCCTTTGCCCCTCCCCCTATTTGCATGCTCTCTCTCTCTCTCTCAAATCAATCTTTAAAAGCAAACAAGGGAGTTCCATGTAGTCCTAGTCAGTAACAGTTAACTTTTCTTGAGTGTGTGCTATGTGCAAGACACTATTCTAAGCACTGGACATAGATTAGCATTCAGTCTGGCCAACAACCCTTTGAGGCAGGTACTATGCGTATTATTATTTTCATTTTACAGGTAAGGACACTGAGGCACAGGGGTAAGTAACTCACCCAAAGTCACGCAGGTAATATTAGAGCCAGGATTCAAATCCAGGGTCAACACCTTACAGGCAAATGGCAGCCCCTGTCCCTCCCCCATCTGCCAAAAAAGAATAATGAACCGAGAAACTAGAAAATAAAGAAAGCAGAACTTCAAAGAGGTCAGATGCAGGGAAGGGAAATTACTAAATAATGAAAGCAACCTCTTATTCTTCTATAAAATGAAAAAAACTTTAGAAATAAGAAACTCTGGCCTTTGAAATCCTTTGGCCACCAGTTCAAAATGTTGCCTACTAAGCCTTGAAGAGGCTCTGCTTTTCTCTTGATTTTGGAGCCCTCAATGAGAGCAAGAACCACATGTTCTTTCAGTGGTTTTTAAAGTAACTACATTTTGTTAATCCTCCTTTCATTTTGGAACAAAGAATATTTGAGTATTTGTTTATACGTTTAGTCATTTTTTAGAACCTGTAAAAATGAAAAAATTTGCTTTGAAGCCATTGAACATACAGAATATGAGAGAAGAGGTACTAAACAGATGAACTTGTATAGTAAGCCACCATGCATGCCATTTTACTACCGCTTTAGTTTTTAAGAAGTTGAATGCTTCTTTACGCTACAGCTAACATCAAAATGAACTCGTTTCTTTACAAACCACACAACCCAAAGACTGACAATGGTTTCAGATGGTAGGTTCTCAGTACAAACCAGAGTGCAGGAAAAGAAATCGCTGCCTAAGGTAGCCTGAGGCAGGCAGACACTGACATGAAATCAACAAGGAATACTGAGCTCAGCAGAGCCTTCTGTAGCTAGAGCAAGGGAACTACTGAGACAGGGAGCGACTGGAAGACCACCTCCCTAGGTGTTTGAAAGCACTTACTGTTTGCATGTAAGAGAAAAAAATGCAAGTAAAAATGAGGCTAGGATGAATTTATGATCCAAGAGGTAATCGCCAGAGAAATGAGGACTCCATAGAATCTCTTTGATTTAGACAGATTTACTTTTGGATTTCATTATTTGCTTTAATGGAGCAGCAGCTGACACTCTTAAAACTAACAATTCAATGTAATTCCCAAGTCACTCTCAAACATGCCAGCCTGTTTTACTGACATCATAGAGTTTCAGAGCTCTATTTTTCCGCATAGTGCTCATCTCCACTAGAAAATATATCATTGCTTTTTTTTTTTTTTATTCTCTGCTTCCCCACACATAAGTTCTCTAAGGCAGGGACTTAGTGGTGCTGTCTGCTGTCTTCTCGGTGTTTGGCACGCTGAAGGCACACTATGGGCATTCTGGGCATAATGGGTAAATGAAGCCGCTGACAACCTGATAAATATAAGTTAGAACTTTAAGGTAAGGAGACCCAACTGTTTAAAAGCATTTAATAACTAGAATCTAAACGCCCCAATGAATCTTCTCTACTTTCACTGGTTTGAATCTACTCCATGGTGTGGAATCTCTCAAGGATAGATATGGTTTTGTGAAACTGCCAAAAGCCATTGAGTCAAATCTGGTGAGCAATAAGTGATCGTGCCCAAAATATATGTTGGATGAAAGCAAAATGTGTTTATAAATTAACACGCCTAATTGCCTTATTTGGCTGGTAAACTGGTTTTGAAGGAAATTCAAAATGGTTTGAACTAAAGCAAAATCACTGGCTCGATCTCAAGGCTCTAAGGTGGATACTTTACAAGGAACAAAACTAAGCTGCGATAAAAAAAAAAAAAAAGTACCCGGGTTAGGCAGAGGCCAAGATACTCCCCCAGAGACCTGACTTGTGATGTTAGCTTTGCCATCAGGTTGCCCCAAATCTTGGGTCATATTATTACAATATTATACAGCGTTACACTCTCTGGGCCTCAGTTTCCCCATCCTGGAAACGAACAACTAAGAACTTCAAGGTCCCAGTCAATTCTAATATGCCACGATTTCATTCTTGTGAAGGTCTATTATGTCTACTTAAAAACCAGTCACAATTCACTACACCTCATACTTAGTATGCGTCTATAAAGCCCATAATATAATCTTTGCGGCAGATTCATTTCATATTTGCTTAGGCAAAAACTAAAATTAGTTTTCACTTCCTGAGCGCAGCAAGACAGTTAAGGGAGGCAACCCGGCAAAGGGCGCTTGCTCGTGCCTGTGCATACTTCCGACTGCGTATCAGGGAACTAACCGTTCCCTCTCAGATCTTCTCTCAACTGTTGCAAGAGCAGAAAACCTCCCGTGCGTGACACCGAAACTCTGTTAGAGAGACCCCATGGGGCTTCCTGGCCAGCGCCGGGCTGCGGCCGCTCCGCAGGACCCACTGGGGATGCGGCGGGCACCCACCCCAGGCGGAGGGCCAAGGCGAGGACCAGCCGCCGCGCGTCGCCTGGGAGGCAGGACGGCCGCCCAGCCGGCTCGCCGCTCCAGGACGGGGAAGCAAAGTCCGGGGAGCGGCCGCGACGCCCCCAGAGTTCCCCCCTCGGCCCCGATCCCCGTCCCGACCTTCGCCCGTCGCCGGCCTGGGACCTTGGGCGGGGAGAACAGGAGGAAGCCAGAGGCACCTGCCTGCGGCTGTCCGGCCTCACTCAGCCCTGGCCGGCAGGGACAGCGAGGCGCTCGGGCGAACCGCCCCCCCCCCCCACACCCGCGGGTGCAGCGAGGACCCGCCGGACCCGTCGGCCCGGGGAGTCCCAACTTCCTCCTGCCGGCTCTCCCACCACAGGTCCCCGCAGCGCCCGGCTCAGAGCCAGGCCAGCCGCGAGCGCGCACCCACCTCGGGCTCCGGGCACCACCGCCGTTGCCAGGCTGCTCGGCTCCCGGGCCCCGCTCCGCCCCCTCCAGGGCCCGCCCCCTGCGGCCTCCCCGCCTCTGGCCACCGCCCGCCGCCCTCCTCCCCGTGCCGGTTGGTGCGGGTGCATCACGTGACATGGGTGAGGCGGGCGGAAGGCGCCGTGAAAGCCTCGGCAGCCGCCCCGAGGGGCGGGGCTCTTCACCCGGGAGGCTGCTGGGAAGCCCTCTTTGAAAGGTCCGGCACGTGGAGGCATCTGGAAGTTGTAGTTCTAAATACGATGCCAGTGGGCAGGGCCCAGATGCTAGGAGCCGCCCCTGTGAGGGAAGTTGGAGTAGAAGCCGGACGGAGGCTGCTGGGAAGCGTAGTCCCAGGACTCCTCTGTGTCCCATTGTTTTTTCCAATAAAGGGGAAATACAGAGGGGAAACTTCTCTAGATAAAACTTTAGCGGATGTCACTAAATGGAGCTGTTATTGGGCACATAGGGTGGGCTGCGGGAAGTTGAGATACTATAAGGGAAAAAAAAAAGAAATTTCACTGACTGTGGCACAGAATCTACAGTTCACAAACCGAATGAACAGCTGAGGTGTACTTCGTGCTGTGCCAGCATCTTTCCAAGAACTCTCTTGAGACTTAGTGAAAGGAAACATTTCAGGACGAAGTTCCTTCTGCTTTTCTGAGGTTTGGGGCAGGCGACCATTAGCACAGTAAAAAGAAAGGAAAAGGAAAAAGAAAACGGAAGACATCTTCAAGAAGAGAATTCCATGTGTAATCAAATAAAACAAGCTTAATGTGACACATAGAAGAATAGGTGTAATATTCCTTGTGCTGCATAATAATTATATATATAATATATAATATATATAAGCAGTTCAAGTAAATGAAGGTAAATAGGAGGACTTCAACATCTTTTTTTTTGTTAGTACTCCAGCATCTAAAAAAATTGTTTTACCTGATACCAGTGTGTGTATTCATATGTATTTATATACAATCGTATATCACTATATGTATACACACTATACACACAAATGCACACACACACACACACACACTAAACCTACTGCAGAGTCCAGACTTCTTAAATGAGTAACAAGCCCTTCAGACTCCAACCCACCTACTCTCCCAATGTGCCTCTTCTCTCTCCTCGCCCCAAATTCTGGTCTAATCACAGAGAACTTCTTTCTCTTCTCTGGATGCACCATGTTCTTTCCTCCTTCCAGCCCTTTGCACTTGCTGTTTCTTTCTCCTGGATTGGCCAAACTCCTGGAAGGGCGGCAGAATAGCACTTATTCCTGGGCCAGGAAGAATTAGCCCTCGCAGGGCCCTTCTCATCGCCCTGATGTCATCATTTGCTTACATGTCAGCCTGCCAATTCCCCTCCCCAGACTGTGAACTCCTTTGAATCACATTCACTTTTGTACTGGATTGCAAAGAGTGCTCAGTAAATGCTTCTTGATTGCATGCATTGCATGCTGAGCAGTTCCCTTGGGGGCTACTGAATAATCTGTGAGTCTTGGAGCAGAGGGAGAGGGGAAAATGTGGACTGAGAGAGGGCAGCAGCTGGGGGTGGGGGAGACCTTGCATGCTCAGGCACTGTATTCAAGGATGAGGCTGAAGCCCTCTGCTCAACCAGGGGATGGGAGCTGCAGAGCAGACACACTTCTCATCCTAAGGAGGTTAGCCCAGCTCCAGCTCTGAAGGACACAGCTCAGGCAGAAAGGCCCAGTAAAGAAGACCAGTCTCTGGCCTGTGGAAGGCAGACAGTGGCCCCAGCCTCACAGTGTAGGTGCGAGGATCAAGTAAAAGAAGAGGTGAAAGCACTTTGAAAACTGTAAACATTGAGCACTACAGGGGAATGGCCACCTGGCCATGGGTGGCCACCTGGCCAATCTTTTTTTAAAAGATTTTATTTATTTATTTATTTATTTATTTATTTATTTATTTAGAGAGCACATGTGCAAGCAGAGGGAGGGTCAGAGGGAGAGAGAGAATCTCAAGCAGGCTCCCCGCAGAGCACAGAGCCCGAAGTGGGGCTTGATCTCATGACCCTGAGACCATGACCTGAGCTGAAATCAAGAGTTGGATGCTTAACCAACTGAGCCACCCAGGCTCTTAACCCCTCCCCCGTTTGAAAAAATATTTATTTATTTGAGAGAGAAAGAGAGAGAGAGACACAAGCAGGAGGGGCAGAGGGAGAGGGAAAGAGAAACTCAAGCAGACTCTGCACCAAGTGCACAGCCTGACATGAGGACTGATCCTAGGACCGTGAGATCATCAAGACCTGAGCTAAAATCAGGAGTCGGCCACTTAACCAACTGCACCACTCAGGCCCCTCAGATCTTTGTATTCTCAACCGAGTCCTGCGCTCTCTCAGGCCAGAGCTGCATCTCATAGTTCGAAGTATGTGTGTGAGTATCTGTGTGTGTGTGTTGGGGGTTCTTCAGGCTTCCCTGCATTTTACACACACACACAGAGTCAGGCACACACATACACGGGCACACACACACACACACACCAAATGCAGAGGAACCTGTGGGGAGATGGCTGGCTCTGGGACAATAGGGAAGGGACAGCAATAGATGTGATATAATGCTGCTTCTTCGATAATCTTTCTGGGCAGGACATCCTTCACCCATCCTCCCCCCCAGGGTCCTCCAGCTTTGGCTAATGCACAAGCTGGAGGTGCCTCCTGTCCCCTGGGGATTCATCCTGTTCTCCCAAGTTTGGCCAAGGGGAGCAGGCAGGACCAGGAGGGGTCTATATCCGTGGCCCGGCTAGGTGTACCCTCACCCCCACTCCCAGCCTCCTGGGTGAGAAGCAGGCCTGAGGAAGGCAAAGTTCTGTTTCCTGATTCTCTCCCTTAGCATCCTCACACATGGGCCCAATGCTGGTGCTCTACCCTCCCAGTTCTCACTCCCACTGCTGGCTGGGGACTGCGACCACCTTGTTCTACCAGGTTCATTACACTGAACCCAGGGTGGAGGAGGGGAAGGGGCATCTTTATAAGGAGGAGGCTGTTGGCCTTGGGAAAGTTACTTCTAATCATTAGCTGCTGCCTCTGCTAAAAGGAGTCAAATGCCACTTCTCACGGTCGCTGTGTCCTAGCATAGTAAGGATCCAGGTGAAGGTGGTGTCTAGAATGTCAAGGCAGTAGTGTTCCTAAGCTGACAACTTGGCTGATGGGAAGAGAGGTGGGAGAATGCAGGAGCAAGCTCCTGGGCATCCCAGCTCTTCCATTTGTTTGTTAGGTGTGTGACTTTGGGGAAGTACATCTCTCTAAACCTCAATTTCCTCATCTGGGAAATGGGGATATTAAGTATCTACTTTATAAGCTTATTGTAAGTGGCTCCACCACCCTCCTCCTTACCCCCACTCTTCTTTCTTTCTTTCTTTCTTTCTTTCTTTCTTTCTTTCTTTCTTTCTTTCTTTCTTTCTTTCTTTCTTTCCTCTTTCTTCTTTCCCCACTCTTTTTATTTAAAAAGTAGCCTAAGCAGAAGAATGCAGCCACTTTGGAAAACAGTTTGACAGTGATTTATAAAGTTAAAAGTACACAGGACCCAGCAATACCACTCCTAGCTATTTATCCAAGAGACATGGCAGTGTATGTTCACAAAAAGACTTGTATGCAAATATTCATAGAAGCTTTTTAAAATAGTAGTCAAAAAGATAAACAATTCAAATTCCCATCAGCTGATGAATGGCTGAACAGTGATATGTGCGTACGATGGAATACTACTGAGCAATACAAAGGAAGAACCATTGATACATGCTACAACATGAATGAAGCCCCCAAATCTTATGTTGAATGAAATCAACAATACACAAAATATTACATACTGTATGATTCCATTTATATTACATTTGGAAAAGGGCAAAACTATAGTGATAGAAAGCAGATTTGTGGTTGGCTGGAACCAGAGATGTGGGAAGGGTATTGACTGCAAAGGGGCAAGAGGGAAGTTTTAGGGGTGAGGGGAATGTTCTATATTTTGTGATGGTGATTACGTGACTGTATACAATTGCCCAGACTCATTAAACTCCAAACATTAAATGAGTGAATTTCATTGTGGGTAGGTTATACTCGATATAGGTTATATTCGATAAAGCTGAGGTTTAGAGGGGTGTGGGCAGGAGAGTGAGTAGCCTCCGGTAAGTTTGTGGAAACTGCCCAGAATTGTCAATCTGTTTGTGTTTGGTTGGTTGGTTGGTTGTTTTTAAGAGGCCCAGTATTTTGAAGGGGAGAAGGTGGTGAAGCTTGCCCTACACATACCAAGCATGTGCTACAAGGTAAGAGATTTGGTGGAGCTAGGGAAAAGCCCCACAAGGAGAAGATGGTGGTCAAGCCCCCTGGGTGGGGGGCCAGGAGTGCTTACCTGGGAGCCGAGTCTGGACAGCGAGAGCACGACACTTGTAGACTCTAGAAACCAGAAGTTTCCCCCATCCTCTCTCTGGAAAATGCCAGTGACCCATGAGCATGCACCCGGAGGGGCTCCAGAACACCAAGGGTCAAGCTGGACTCTGTTCACGTGCAGATGAGAGTGCTATTGCCTGTTGCTGGTGTTTCCCTTCTACTTTATCATAGAGCTCAGTGTTGAGTTTGGGGCCTCCTTGGAGAGGTCCCGCTGGTCAGCAGCGTCTATTTTCCCAGGTGCTGGGTGGAAGTTCCAGCCAAGTAGTGGGACATAAAAACACACACAAAGAGAAATGCAGATTTTTAAAATTTTTTCTCCCAGGGCCTCTTGGACACAGGGGCCAGACATGCAGAGATTATTGTTATGACATCACAGTATTTCCAAGGGCCAGGTTTGTTTGTCTCCCTCATCACTAGATAAATGTAGGGTGTTTAGGGATGACTTTGAGGTCTAGTCTACAAGCAGTCTGGTGAGAAAATTGCCCCAGGCTCCAGTCATATTACAAATCAAACCAAAGCAACTCAGAAGAAAGACCAGCTCACAAGATGCCCACCCTCTGTCTCCAATTATGAGGTTTTTTTAAATCTCAGTTTCTTACACTAAAAATTTTTTTGAGGAAGGAAGCCCTA